CCTGGGCAGCACTAACCTCTCCTGACACCACACAAAGAAGCATAATCCTCATTATCTCTCTTCAGTCAGAAGCAACAAGTACCTGGGGAGCAAAACGTTACAAGGAAAGAAGGCAGTGAAAACTAAGGGGTAAGCATTTTGCGGCTAACACATGCCTGCTAAGACATTTCTGCTGAAAATCATAATTTAAATCTGCTGAATCTGTACATAAGGACCCTCAGGGAGGAGTGAACCAGGTGAGAGAGCTGTGCTTTTACATGGAACTTGACTAAATAATGCTGTGATGTACCCAGGAATTTGGTTTCCCTGTACCTTATTTTAAAGTGTTTTAGTGGTTTGCAACAGACTTGAATAATATCCAAGCTGCCCTACAGCAGATAGAAGTTGCTACACGACCACACTTCCTTTAGCCCAACACTGCTTATAAACCAAAATACAAAAGCTTGATTTAAAAAAAACCCCACATAATTTAGTTTCAGAATGACATTTTTAATGACAGTCTCCTTTAGACAATCTTCTAAACAAGAGAATTCAGTATTTGTTGGATAATTTTGTTGATGAAAGCATTTTAGAAGTTTTATAATGGCTTTAACATCCTAAACTACTTTAAAATTCATACCTAAAGGAGTTAGATGAAAACTATCAGGTTTTCACTGCGCTTGTCAGAAGTTTAAATATCTTTTTCTACTATTTTATCAGAATACTAGAAGAAATTATGTAGTAGAGAAAAGCCAAATTTTTGTTCAGATTAATCAGAGCTAAAAGAAACCTAACTGAAAGCCAAGATTTTGCTGCTTAGATCAAACATTTGCTAAACAGTGATTGTCTGACTCTAAAAAAAAAACAACAAAAAAAACCATTTATTTATTTATTTATTGGTAGAAGGTCTTGCTATGCAGCTTGGACTCATAGTGATCCTCCTGTATCCCAGCATTGGGATTACAAATGTATGTCACCACCTCTTGTTTTTGGGGCCAGCATGGCACGCCCGGGGCTCTAGGGCCAGCACTGCACCTGGTACTCAGTACTGGGGATCGAACCCAGGTACTTGCACTTGCCAGTCAGGTGATTAGATTGCTGAGCTATCTTCCTGGCCCCTGGCTGACTCTTAAATGCTCTATCAGTATGGTACTGTATTGTTGCCAGCAATAGGGGTTCAGCTCTGTGTTTCCAAGCGGCCACTCCATGCACTATCTCTGGGGAGATGCTAGAGACAGAGCACTGAGTCAGATCTCTCTTGGCCTTTGAGAGGCTGGGAAGTCTAAGGGGCAAGGGAGCTCCATAAAGATATAATTTCAGCTTACTTTTGTCCTAAACTAAGAGAGGACAGCACACAGGAGGGGACCCTTGAGTTAACTTTGAACATTCAAAGCAGGTTTCTTTGAAAGCAACACAAGCTAAGCCTTAAAAGTTGACAGAGGAAGAGCCCAGTAGTAGGAATTCAAGACAGCAGTAGCAAGTTGGACAGACACAGTTGCTTCAGCTGCTCCATGCCCTCACCCATGAGCCTGAGTCGGCTGAGGAAGTGTAGATCCTGGGGCACGCAGCTGAGCTACAGGTGGTAACCAGGTCTTAATCTGCTCATCTCCTGATTCAGGAGTTCTTAATAATGAAAACTGGTATTTATCAAGCACTTACTAGAGTACCCACACGAAGCATCTGAAAGCAGTGTTTAGCCCCAAACCCTTATTTCACAGATGTGAACAATGAGGAATAGAAATAGAGTGAAGACAACAGGCTACATGACCAGTAAATGGTAGGTGCGTTTGGAACCCTTGACGGTCTGATTTCAAAGTGTATACCCTACATTCTGTCTTCAACTAATTCCCCAAAAGACGAGCTGGGTCAGGATGAGTGTGGAGTGGAGCTGGCCCAGCAAAAGTAAGAACAAATCAGCACAAGAAATACTTGCAAAGTTCTCAAAATAAAATGACACATTTAGTAATTTTTTAAAGTACACAGATTTAAAATATTTTTTTCTTTTTTCCTTGCTCATAACACACTTCCACGTGTCACGTCAGTGGGGCAGAGACCAGGTCTATCTCATTCCCTGAGGACAGAATCTCAAAGTTTCGGAATCCTGCCTGTGAGAAAGAGATGCTCAATAAATAAATGTTGAGGAAGAAGAATCAGAAATGGCTACTATTTTACAGTGGCATCAACAAGTGCTATTACTGATGTGACAAACAATGTTAAAAATGAAAGAAAATGTATAAAAAGTTGGGCCTGTGAGATAGCTCAACAGACTAAGCACCTGCGTAGGCGAGTGCAGGGACCAGGGTTCAATCCCCAGCACCACAGGCCACACCAGCCCTGCCCCTGGGAGCACTGAGCTGGGCACCAAGACCAGGCATGGTGGTGCACACCTATAATCCCAGTGCTGGGGAGGCTGAAAAGAGGAGGATTACTATGAGTCCAAGCTGTGTAGTGAGACCCTGTACCAAATACATGAAAATAAATATATATAAAAAGTCATGTTGATAACTGAAGAATGGTAAACTCAAATGTAGTGATTTTGTTGACGACATCATCAGACAGCAATGAGTCATCACCACAGGAGGTTAGGTTAATAGAGAAGGTGGTAACACAATGAGGTTAGTATTTTGTATCAACCATAACTTGTTGGACATAAGATATTAAAGGAAGTGGCCTAACAGGAAAATTGGGCTTCAAGGAATGGGGAGAGGGGAATCAAATAGATAAAAGACCAAAGTCTGCATCTAATGATTTCTACTACTTGACCCTAGCAAGGTCTGTAGCTGTTAAAGTGACTTTTGGCAAAGTTTAATCCTTTGGACGCTGTTATTACCAAGAATCTCTTTTCAGGTATCTGAAGAGTAAATCATTATTTTCACATTTGAACTATTCAGACAAAGCTTTCTACAGAGTCATTTCTTATTTTTGAGAATTTGGGAAGAATTACTATACCAAATAGAAAGTAAAAATAAAGAAGTTTAAATATATTTTTTATTGAAAACCATTCTTAAACCGAAATCCTTCATTTGCTTGTAAAGCGATCAACTTGAAGGACTTTTTCTAATAACCAAATAGGAAGTTGCAAACAATCTCATTTCCCCACATATTGTCTCACATCAAGGTATTTTGAAAAATATTTTCAGTATACTAATTATGTTAGGAAAAACTTGAAGCTATTTATTTACACAGAAACTTGAAATACAATGGAATTAGGATGTTCACCTTCATTATTGTTATTCTACCTTTACAATCTTACAAAAATTAATTCCAGCCAAAAAAACCCCTTACAAATTCAAAATAACCCTTGTTCCGACCATTTTAAAACTTCAATTCCCTATGAAAATATGAAATCTATTAGTTTTCTAAAACCCAAATAAAAACCACCAGGCCTTTAAATTAATTGTTTAAAAGTGTGCGTGCATATAGGTGAAACAAAACCGCCTCCTGGACTGCTGCCTCTGGAATTTGCAAATCATAAATCCTATCCTTGTAAACAAAACTTAACCAAATCAAGGCCTGCTAATTTCTTCCTTTAATGATCTGAAACAGAAGTTAAGAAAATTAAAGGTGCCAAGTTTAATGTTTATTAGTAAACTACAAGTCAGTTTTTAAGAGTCTGGAGTAAGCTTGAGACAGTTGAACATTCTAGGACTGCAACATAAGAAAACATCTAAGAAGAAAACACTGACATTTTATTAAACTGGACAACTCAAATCGGTATGAGGATATTTTGAGTGAAATAGTGCTTCCTCATTCCATTAAAAATTCCATCTCTGTGCCACTTTTGATAAAATCCAGAGGTTTTTTTTTTTTTGTTTTTTTTTTTAGTTTTCAGTTGCCTTCCAATAACCTGAAATGTCTCCTTGGTCCTCATATGTCTTCCAGATAAACTTAAAACTGAACAGACCTGAGCCCCTTGGTAACTAAAACGCGTGCTCTTGATGGTGTGGAGGGTCAGGTCATCCACACTTCATCCAAAATCTACACAGGGCATAGCCAAATCCCCACCCCCAGATCCTCACAAGGGGGAAGGGGGACGATTTAATTGTTTAGGAGATGTAGCACTGTCCAATTTCAACATCTTATCTTACAGATGAGGAAACTTAGGCCCAGAGAAGCGACAGGACTTGTCCCACTGCCCAGTCCCAGACCGCAGCTGCGGATACTCAGTTGTGTGGCCCACAGCTGTGAAATTTCTAACTTGTGAGGTCTCAGGGGTGCTGCGCTTCCTGAAAGTCATCAAGAATCCGAGCCCTACTTCTTCCTCCATTCAAATGTGAGACAGAAGGGAGGCAGCTGAGGTCCTGAGCTGGATTCCCAGCACCCTGAGACAGAGATGAAGAGCAGAGCCCAGCGATGTGCACCGTTACAAACACTCAGCTGTCAAATGGCAGTTGGAGGGAAACATCAGCTCCTTGAAGGCCAGTCTGCGTTGCAGGTGCCACCTCTGCTGGGCCTGAATCTACCTGGCGCGAGGTACACAGGCTCGGTCCTTAACTTCACCAGTGACGCATTCCCTCCCTGCCCATCCTAGGCCAACATAAGCAACTTTCCTGGGGGGTCGGTTCTTTCCTTGAAACTCGTGCGCAGCCAGCTGGGGCCAAGAAGCCGCCCCGGGACAGCGAAGCCGTGGGGGACTAAGGGCTGGGCGCCCGCAGCCCGCAGGAGGGGCCGTGGAGTTGGCCGCCCGGCGCGGTGGACCCAGGTGGACGCTGCCTCGGCTGCCTGGCGGCTCCGCCCGGGCTGCTCTCGGCCTGCTTCGGATAGCCAGCTTCTCCAACTTCCCTTTCCGGGGGTGAGAGCTCGCCCCGTCTCGGCAGCACAGCGCCCGTCCCGCGCGCACAAAGGGGCCCCGCGCCCTCCGCAGCTGAACTTCGCTGCCTTTTTCTAGGAGCAGCTTCCCGGCCCGCGGCCACCGGAGCCGGCGGGACGCCAAGGGAGCTCCCCGGTTCCGCCGGAGCGCTCGGAGCGCTGTCAAGCGCGGCCGAGAAGTGGGGGCCCGGGGCGCCCCACCGGACACTCACCCGACTTCTGGACTTGCGGAGGGAGCGTGCCGGCGATGCGCGTCCACAGGACGAGGTGCAGCGGCCACAGGCCCGCGAGCAGCCGGCGCCCCATGGCAGACCCCGGGGCTCCGCATAGACCAGGCGGGCCGCGCCTCCGCCC